ATCTGCCTGTTCTGCTCCCCGCTCTGTCTCTGTTGAAGCCTCTCACCGCCCCTGAGCCTCTAGCCTGTACCCCGGTTCTGTATGTACAAATAAATAAATCTTTAAAAAAAAAATAAGTTACTGTCTGTAATAAGCAGTGTCTATAACATTATGTCTAAAATGTCAACATGTACACCTGGCTTAAATGTGACATGACACAAAAGGGAGCTGGGAGACTGGTTAGCAGGTATTTGACAAGAAAAGCAGGTGCAAAGGTTGGGTCTGGAGGCAGAGTCAGGAGCCTCGTAGGGGGAAACAGACTGGCCTGGGCAGTGGGAGCAAAGCCAAGTGCATCTAAACGGAGGTCCACTGCTGGTGAAAACACAGCCTGGGCCTCGCAGGCAAAGGGGGAAAACAGGCTAGGAAAGGGCAGAACAGATGGGGGCGGGCCCAGAACCGCAGCTCTGCCGGCCACCGGCCACCGGTGGGAGGGCCTGCAGAAGCCCCAGGTCGCCCCGTTTGGTCTCACGCCACAGCAACTAGCAACTGCTCTGTGCCGGGCCCTGTGTCAAGCACTTCGCTTATTAGGTTAATCAAATTCTTTTACTTTTGAGTAAAGGAAATCAACTCAAGCCAGAGGAAATGTTCTTAATGGAGAAAAGCACACTGGGAAGACACCGGTCAGGCACAGCTGGCTCCAGCAAAGGCCACATGAGGACTCCAGAGTGTGTGGCATTTTCTAGGAACTTGCAGGTTCCCTCTGGGCACCTGCCTTGTTGCCCCTCTGCCCCGGCTTTTTCTGATCATCAGCTGGTAAGATGGGGAGAGGGCGCCACGGAGCCAGACTCACGGAGACATGAAAGCAGATCTGCCTGGCATCTCGGGGTGGCAAGGCTCTGCGCGCGCCAAGTGTCAGGGGAGGGGGACAGGCCACCCAGAGACAAGACTTACGGCCCTGTGTTGTGACCCCAAGGCGGAGGATAGTACACGGCACTCGGGGAGGTGGAGGGGTGGATTGAGTCTAGCTGTATTTGGCTCCAAGGCCAAAAGGTTGCCCAAGATGAGGAGGGCAATGGCCGAGGGATTGTTCACCAAGCCCACCGAGGGCCGCACACACGGACACAACGCCAAGTTCCCTATGACAACAACACTTTAATTTGCTAAGAGCACAGCGCAGTGATCCCGGCAGCCCTGTGGCTAGCTGTTCAGGAGAAGGCGCTCGGCTGCGGGAACAGTGAGGGACCTGAGGCCTAGGCCGCTCTCAGAGGTGGGCAGGGGGCTGGGCTGCCTCCTTGCGCCCCTCCCCAGCGATGGGCCGGCCTCGCTCCTCCCAAATGGTGAGGCCATCGCAGGAGCAGATCTGTTTGGGGTTCTGGAAAAGGCCGGAGGAGCGAGCGATGATGCCACAGGCCAACCTGCCGAAGAACACGCAGTAAAGAGCAAGGACTCGCCGGGGCCTCCATGGCTGTGGCTGGGCACGCCGCCGGCAGAGCGCCCCTCACCTCTCCCCTGAGTTGCCCGTGATCTTGGATAAGGGATGGCTGCCCCGGCCCAGGTCATCTTCTCCCTCATCAACAACCAGGCTGCGGCCAATCACGTCCCACACCTTTGAGGGGAGACAAGGCCTCAGACAGAGGGCTCTGTTGGGAGGGTCCCCACCGGCCATCGCGCCTTACCTTTAGCTGTTCATCCTCCATCCTGAAGGTGGCTCGGCCATCAGCGTCCGCAAGCACATTCCCCAGGTCTCCGCGGTGCTGCAATGAGACCGGGCTGGGGAGGCTGAGAACGCAATCTGTGGCTTCCGCAAACCTGACTCCCCTCCCCCCAAGTAGTCTGGTGGCATGACAGGATGGCTGGATACTCCACTGGAAATGAAACCCTGGCAGAATGACAGGGCACCAGGAGCTGCTAGACTCCCCAGCAAGTCACCCCGCCGGGCTGGCCCACCTCTGCTGTAACGCCACTGCCCGCCCCGCACCCACCTCAGACGCTAGCCCAGCTTCTGCTTCTCTGCAAGCCCATTGCTCCAGCCTCCATTGGCTCTGGGCCCTCGGCAGTCTGCAGTGCCCTGGGCCTCCTGCCACCCGAGCACCCGCATTGTATCCCTAAGCCAGGCCTCCAGGAACAGAGGTGACTAGCAAAAGACCCGTCCTGCTGCCCAGAAAGAAGCTGGCTCTGGCCAACCCTCCCCTCAGGAGGGCACCCGTGATGGGTGCTCCCATGCCATCACCTGCCAGCGCCAGGTCTCAGTGGAGCACCACCCTTGAGGGCTCCGGCAGAGGGGAGCCAGACAAAGGAGGGCTCACAAAGCAGGCTTAGTGCGACACGAGTGTGTTCCTGGAGACAGACTTGATGGTGGGCCAGAGATGTGTCTGGCGACTACAATGCCCGCAACTGGGGCAAACACAAGGCCTGCCGATGGAGGCTGGTGGCCAGCTGCACGGTGTGTGGTGCGAGGGGCTGACAGGAAGCGTAGAAGCCACTTCTGCTTCATCCAGTTTCCCTGGGAGGCAGCTGTGCTTGCAGCTGGCCTTGCTGGGACCCGAAATGCGGTGGGGCTTTAAGGCAGAAGGACTGAGGCGGGGAGCCACGGGGCTTGAGCTAGGCTGAGGGAGCGGCCAGGTGGTGGGCTCAGAGGTGTGGCCCAGCAGCAGGGTGTGTCAGCCGGAGGGCAGCCTCCCCCACCCTCCTCTACACACCCTAAGCAGACCCCAGATGACTGTCACACCAAGTAGCCAGAGGGGACAGGGAGCCAGGCGGGCTCCAGGCAGGGGCACGTCAAGGTCGCCTGTGCTTCGAGCAATCCCAGTCAGATGTATGGAGGGGAAGGGAGAGGGAGGGACAGTTAGAGACATGTGGGAGAGGTGCACGGGCTAGAAATCCCCACGCTGAACTCATCCCATGTGGAAAGACAAACGCAGAGGGCTGCAAAGTTTCAGTGTGGGGTTCACAGGTCTCTGTCACTTCTAACATCTGCTAGTCCCCACAGCAACGAGAAAGCAGGCCTTGGTCCCCAGACCTGGCAGGGTAGTCCCTGGCCAGACTCAAGAAGTCCAATTCAGGTCTTCACAGAGGTATCTGTACAAGTGGTCTGCCCATGGCATCTGGTTTTCCCGTCACTGTGGCAATACCAAGTCTCTAGTGACAGGTCAGTCTGCCTTCGTTATCTGAAATGCACTGACTGGCTTCAAGGGGAGGGTGGAAGGGGACCGCCTGAGGGCTGGGAGTGGCCAGGGCACTGGCTTCCCTACTCTGGAGTATGAGAGGGAGTAAGACATTAAAAGTAACTAAAATTACCCATGGGGTGGGGGGAAGGGGGAGTGAACCCACTTAAGTCAAAATACTGAATAACTGGCAGAACCAGGGCGCTCCAGTAAGGCATAAATCGAGACGGCCATGCGTGACTCTCTGGGGCAGCACACAATTCTTGGGGGAACTCGGAAGTTCCAGGAGCAGGAGCTGGAGCATCAGAAAGGCCTTTCTAGTTCAGGTAAATGCATCGCCTTCTCCAGACCCTTCAAAAAGGAGTCATACTGGAAGGGGCCAGGAGCTGCCTGCCCTGCCTCTGATACCTGGGTTCTCTCTCAGTCCACGTCTCTCCCCTAGGCCCATACTTACCCTGTCAGAGTCCTGGGGGCCCCCGTGGGAGGTTCCGTCAGGGTTAAAGTGGTCCCCACAGCTGAGAAAAAGAGCAGGTGGGCAGTGAAACATCAACTCGCAGGCCAGACGATTCACCCTCTTAACTGTTTTTGCTTCACTCATTCATTCAACAAACAGGCACATCCTGGGCCAGGTTCAGGTTCAGGGCGCCAAGAGTAGGGCCTGGGTTCTGCCCTCAGTAAGCTCCACGTGAGACATGGGTGAGCGAACACTGATGATGGCGACATGACAGGGACCTGCCTGCCGGCTCCGGTGGCAGTGGCTACAGCAGGCCCGCAAGGTCACACGCTGATTCAAGTTCCTACTCTCCCAGACCTGCTTGGGGCCCCTGGCATGTCATTTAACCTCTTTGAGCCTCAGTTTCCCCATTTGTAGATGGGACCTGTCCTGTGTGCCCCATAGAGTACTTGTGAGCACCCAGTGTGTGTGGAGGACGAGAGGGTATGCAAATGGGGGTGTAACAGCTACAGGTTCCATGGACTCCGCCCCCACTCCAGATACTGGACCGACTAATCCCATCAGCACGCTGGGACGTGAGGGCGGAGCTGAGCAGCCAGGTTGGGATAAAACCGGACATGTGGGCTCTGCGGGGCTCTTGGCCTGGTGGTTTGCAGCTGGTTGTTTGGCTCTCGAACAGTCTTCAGCGTGCTGGTGGAGTCCGGTCAGCAGAACTGGTAGGACACTCTAGTTAACTTGTATTTGTCTCCCTCCTTCCCTGGGTTGTTCCTTTACCTTCCTTGTAAATAAATCCATTACTGAACCTTTTTGTGCGTGTCCATAATATGATTGAATTTTAACCGCACAGGTGAGGACCCACAGACAGGCAGCCCAATTCACACTGGGGTGCCCTGTAACTGGGGGATGGGGTGCACGGGGAGGTTACTGACAACTTACCTGTTGCAGTTCTTCGTGAGGTCCCCAAACTGATGGACATGGAGTCCGTGCAGCCCAGGCTCCAGGCCATCAATGGTCCCCTCAATGAGGCAACGCTCAGGGGTCAGCTGTAGGAAACGCACCACCCCCTGCACGGAGCCAGGTCCCCCCAGAATGGCCACCGCTGCCCCCAGATTCTCTGCAAAGGTATTAGACACCACCTAGGTCACCACCTCCCCCAGCCTCACCCCTTTGTCTGCTGAGGAAAGGCACAGAAAGCACCCCACATAACAGACTTGCTTTCCCTCCGACCTACAACCCCCAAATCCTACGGTTAGATTTGTATGAGCCCCAGGCCACATCCTCCCAGAGAGGCCAAGGCCTTGGCTATAGTGGTGACTCACGCAGCAGGTTGCTGCCCATGCCCTTGAGAACCGCCTGACGTCCTGTTCCTTCTAGAAGGCTCTGCACCTTCTGGCTGGGCAGGGTGGTATGCACCAGGACCATCTGGTTCTCCAGCTGTACCTCCACACTCTGGACACCTGGGAGGAAGGAGGTCAGAGGGCAGCAGAGGGAGCACCCCTGTGCTGGGATTCGCAAGAGACTTCCATCTTCACCAGCTCAGAAGGCTCTTCACCTCTGAGTCTGTTTCTTTACATATAAAGTAAGTATAATGCCACGTGGCTCCCAGGCATGAGGTGAGCCTTACTATGCCCAGGCATTGTTCACAGCTTTTGAACACGTTTTTGTGTTTTTTTTTTTAAGCAGGCTACCGATAGCCACATTATTCATGATAGCCAAAAAGTGCAAACGCTTCCTCTCATAATTCCCAAAACAAGTGAGCTGTTTGTGCCCAAAACATTTCTAAAGTGCTTTACACATGCTCTCTTCCGACACCACCATTATGTTGCCTGTATGTTGCCCTTTGACATGCTGAAGAACCATGCACAAACAGTAACAGGGGTGAGGCCTCAGGGCCATGAAGCAGCAAAGAAGGGATCTGGACCCATTCTGTGTCTAAAGCACATGCCCCTCCCCACTGCCGCCATGCAGCCCTGTCCAGGCCAAGTGCGCCACGCCCTCCTGAACCCTTCTCTTCCCATTTCCTCCTCCGGAACTACTCTTCCCAGAACAGTGCTGGGCATGCTCACTTTTACCTGCAGGCAGGGCCTGAGCCTGCAACACCCTTGAACCCTCCTCCCTCAAAGCCCCCCAGATCTGGCCCACAGCTGCTGAGTGGCTGATGAATACTTGATGGACCCAGAGGCAGGCAGTCCCTCCTGTGTCCTGCTGGTGACATTTCCAGATCTTTCTGCTCGTGCCAGGTCACCTTGAGCCTGCTAACTGGCTTTTGAGAACAAGAGGTGCTTGGGATGGAACCTGGCCAGGGCTGCTGTTGGTTTTATCAAGATTATGCAGTTGCCCAAGCAAGAACTGCCAGTTTGCCAGGGAACTCCCTCTGTAGGTGGGGCTATCCTCAGCCTGGCTCCTCAATTTTTCCAGGTCTGAGCTCCAGCACTGAGCGTTACAGCAGGTTCAGGCAGGGCAAGAGTGAGCTCTGTACTCTACTCTGTCTGTTCGGAGTCTCTGTGAGACTGAGAAGATTCCTTGCACTCCCTGAGGCTCAATTTCTGCATCTGTCAAATGGGATTAGGGCTGCTTTCAGAGATTTGCCTGCCCCACCCAGAGGCCTTAAAGTTTAACTGCCACCTCTTACCTGCCACCCCTTTCAGGGACGTGCGCACCGCATCCACACAGTTCTGACAGGTCATCTGCACCGCGAATTCCAGCTACAAAGGCGGCAGGGACCGGATGAGCGCTGGGGACCCCTCTTGTGTCACCCCTTCTCAGCGCTTCCCCTGTGACTAGCCCAAAGGCCTGGGGAAACGCCCCCACGTGATCTCTCCTTAAGAGCCTTCTTCATTATCACCCATGATTATTCCGGGCCCAACATCTCTCAGCTTTAACTCCAAGGCCCCCACCCCCACGCAGGTTTCAAGCCGGGGGGGGGGGGGGGGGGCCGGCTCCTGCCCCAGGTGCGCGCTCCTTTCCCCCTTCCTGGAGTTAACGGCAACCCCAGGGGTCGAGGTTCTTTGCCCCACGAGGCTCCCGCGTGAGGTCTCAACCCTCACCGTGCAGGCGGTCCCGCTGTCCCCCGAGCCCGAGGCCATCCTGGCCCCAGCCGCCCGCTGGGCAACCGGAACAGTGAGAGTGCCTCTGAGCTCAAACTCCCAGCGGCGTCGCGGGAGGCGGAGCCACAGAAGCCGGCCTTTGCCCCGCCTCCTCGTGCGCGCGCACGCAGGACCCGCCCCCTCCGCCTCCCGCGGCGCCCAGGGCAGCGCGGCGCAGGCGCACTCGGACGGCCCCGCCCATGGTTGCCTCAGTAACCGCTTGGCTGCCTCCGCCGAGCGGGCCGGCCCCGCCTGCGGGAAGATGGAGCCCTCCAAGCCCGAGACGGAGCTCCAGCAGCTTTACCACCGCTTGCTGCGTCCGCTGTCGCTCTTTCCCCGCAAGGCGACGGTCCCACAAGCTCAGAAGCGCCCGACGGAGGAGCCCCCGATGCTGCTGCCCTTGCCGATCTCGCGACTGACGGTGGAGTCGCTGTGCCGGAAGGTGGCCGAGCGGCTGGAGAGCTGCAGGCTGGCGGTGCGGGTGCCTCACGAGGGCCGACTCCGTTTCACCAAGGTGATCCTGGACGAGCTAAAGTGCAGCTGGCAGGAGCCTCCCTCCCAGCCGACTCTGAGCCACTTGGAAAACCAGAGGTTCTGGAACCGGCTGCAGGCCCACGTGCTGCTCAGCAGCGAGCAGCTCTTCTTAAGCTACCTGTACCAGCTGGTGACCGTGCCCAACAGCAAGGGCGTCTTCACTGAGTCGGCCACGCTCACCCGTTTGGCCGCTAGCCTCGCTAGGGACTGCACGAACTTCCTCACCAGCCCTGAGGTCTACCGCTGCCTGCTCACTGACTTCTTAGCCCTGCTGAAGGCCGAGCAGGTCGAAGGCGGCCTGCACAAACTGCGCACCCACCGTCCCACCGGCGCTTTGACGCTTTACCACATCCCCCTGCCTCGCAGCAGCGTTATGGCCCAAGTGCTGCCCTCCAGCCTCAACCTGAACTACCTCATCCAACTCAGCCGTCCCACAGACGCTGCCAGTGAGCCAGAGCCGGATCCAGTGAAGGAACTGAAATCCATCCCCCAGCTGAAGAAGAGAAAAACTCTGGGCTGGCTGCCCTCCAGGCAGACAAAGAGAGAAAAAGATAGCTCCTCACAGATGGTTTTGCAGCCAAAGCACTTTGTGGCGCCTCCCACCAGAAGAGCCCCCCCTTCCCCTCCCAGGCCTCCCTGCTCCCATCTCCACAAGGGCCACTCCATGCCCTCTCTGCGTGAGGGCTGGAAGCTAGCAGATGAGTTGGGCCTCCCACCACTCCCCCCTCGCCCCCTAACCCCCCTCATCCTGGTGGCAGAGAGCAAACCGGAGCTGGCAGTGGACATGGTGGCTGAGGACCTGAAGGCGATGAGAAAGAAAATGAAGCTGGAGTTGACTCATCACTCCTCCCTGGACTCAGGCCTTCCCCCGCTGGTGGGCGCCCTGACCCATTGTCCAACTGCCACAGATCGCAGAGAAGAGCTCCAGAGAATGCTGAAGTCCCTGGAGGAAGAAGAAGCCGCCCGGCACCGGGGCCTCCAATTCCAGCCCTCTCCCACTCAGCCACAGCCCATAACTGTTACTTTAAAGTTAAGAAACCAGATGGTGGTCCAGGCAGCTGCTGTACAGTTCTCTGAGAGGAACTTTGTGGACTCCTTCCACGTTGAGGGGGCCGGAGTCCTGTACAACCACCTCAACGGTGAGCTGGATCCCAAGCTCATTGAGGAAATGGACATGGATCGCTTTGTTGGCAGCAGCCTCAGGGAGGTCTACAAGGAGCTGATGAGCCGCGTGTCCAACAAGCACTTCTCTTTCGACCAAGGACCCCTGGTGGAGTCCACATCTGAAACGGCCTGGTCAGGCTTCCAGTCCTCAGCCTTTCTAGGTCAAGACAAACAGAATCGTATCATCAACCCCACGCTGGTTGGACTTTACTCCAAGAAAACAAATGTGTTTCAGCCCAGCCCTGAAAAGACCGCCTCCCTCCTGTCACTCCAAGCGAAGAAAACTTGGGCCAGGAAGTACAACAAGATTTCGTGGCTGGCCTGGTGGAGAAGCACCATTTCTGTGGATGATTATTTCACGTACCTCCTCAAGCAGGAGACAGATTTCCTGCACGTCATCTTCCAAATGTATGAAGAGGAGGTTGGCGAGGAGCCCCCGGCCCCTGTCAAAGAGACCCTAAAGATTCAGCCCCCACCCCCCTTGCTACAAGACGAAGATCCCAACTTTGTGTCAGGAGAGTGGAACTGGAACACGGTGCTGGAGTATAAGGTAGGACCTCAGAAGACCCAGCTCCTGGGGGAAGTCCCCAAACTCGGGCACCTGCAGAAGCGTCTGGAGCGACTGTGGTCCTTGCTTGAGATCCCTCACAAGGACCGACTGGACATGGCCATCAAGTACAGTTCCAATGCCCGCCTGAGGCAGCTGCCCTCATTGGTGAGCGCCTGGGAGAGCGTCCTGAAGCCCATTCACCTGCGGGAGAGCCTGCTGGCGAAGCTGGAGTGGTTTGAGCGGCAAGCCTCCAACCCCAACCGCTTCTTCGAAAAGGTCGACTTGGGTCCGAGCAACTTCCTGGAAGAGAACCAGATCCGCAGCAAGCTTTACAAGAAGCTCGGCCTGGTGGAGGCGCCTTTGGTCTCCCTCCTGAGGGAGATCGAGTCAATCTTTGGCGAGCCAGTGACCTTCAAGGGGCGGCGCTATCTGGACAAGATGAAGCGGGACAAAGTGGAGATGCTGTACTGGCTGCAGCAGCGGCGGCGTGTGCGCCACCTGGCCCAGGCCCAGAAGGCCTCCCACCCGGCGGGTCTGCACAGGAGGCCCGGCAGCCAGGCCCTGGTGGCGCCTGGGAATAGTCCCATCCCCCTGTGATGGGCGCCAGCATGCCCCCCTCCCCCACACACCCCAGCCGCTCTCAGTCCGGTAACTGCTCAGGAAGAACTGCCAGGGGCGGGGTGGGGAGGTGGGCTCGGAGACCACATGCTTCTGACCATGAGGACCACGATGGACGCTCTGACAGAATGACCAGCATCTTTGCCCTTACCCGGCAGTATTCCAAAGCCCAGGATGTCCACTGATGTAGCAAAGTACAACCCAGATCTCGACTATCAAAAGAACTCAGGCCAGTCCTCTGGGCTCTGTTGTCATGGGGACCATCAGGCACCTGGCCACCTCCGCATAATCTTCCTATCAGATGCATCCCGTTGGCCCATGACAGCCCAAGTCAGGAGGCTCTGGGCAGCGGAGTAGAGAGCAGGCTCTAGAGGAGTGGGCCTGAGCGCAAATTCAGGCCAAGGAACCGTGGGGCAAATTAGATAACTGCCAGGCTCCTGGGTCCTCACTGGTCAGCCCTCTGTCAACAACGAGGAGCTGAGGCCATAAGTTGCCACTTCTTCCAGTTCTCGAATACTCCTGACAGCACTAAAACAATGTAATCACACATTTGCCAGTCCCTACAAACCCATGCAGCATGCAGGAGTATGTCCACTGGAAAGTAATTTTCTTTTCCATCCCTACCCCAACCACCCTCCCCGGGAGTCTTGGCCTTACCTGTTGCTTGGATGGAACATTTGAGAAATGTGCTGGTGGGAAAACAAAAGAACTTGGGAGTGTTTAAGTGCTGAGGGGGAGTGAAGGCTTTCATGTTACAGAGTTCACACTTAACCCCCGCCACCTGCCCAGGGAAACTGCCGGTAGGGGGGGATGGTGGCCACGCGAACCAGGGCCAGCAGTAACATGGTTGGCACCGGCCTCTGCAGGGGAGGTTCCTCCTGGCGGGTGTTACACTCCAGCTGCTGGGGACCTGCTGCCAGAGGCAGAGCTCACCAGGCCCCACAGAACCAGCACACCTAGGAGCTGCTGGGGTTCTGGGCCACACAGATCAGCGGGTGGGTGCTGGCTCTGCCGGTGACTGCTTTTAGTCCTCAGGGTATGCTCCTTTATCCTTCCTTTACTCTGCTGTAAAAGGGCCATTTTAATATCCACCTCACAAGATGGTGCTGACAGCCCAAGAAGTCACACAAGGAAAGTCGTCTGCACAGGGAAGAATTTGGTAGGTTTTCTCAATAAAATAAATACAAAATTAAAATAGAAAAGAGCAGTGTTAGCTACTCACTTGTTAGCTCAATTTCCTGACTACATAAAGAGCTCTGAAAATTCAAGAAAACAGTCAAAGCCAACTGGCAGTGGGCAAAGGCAGGGCACGTCCCAGAAAGGACAACAAGTGGCACATTAAAGAGACAACTTGACTCATAAGAGAAGTGAGGGAAATGGGGCACAACTTTCCACCTGCAAGATGGTAGAGACGAAAACAGTTGATAACACCCTACTGGTGAGAGCGAGGTGAGAAGTACATTCATGTGGTGGTGGTGGTGCGAATTGTTAAAACTGTTGGTTGTGAAGGGTAACCAGTAATAGCTATCAAAATTCTGAATGCTTCTGCTTAGATATAATTCCTCCTCCAGAAACTTAAATAGAAATAGTCGTACATCCTAAATAGATGAACCAAGATTTGAAAAAATGTTTATTCTGAATATTACCAAAGCACAGATCTGGTTGGCAATTCCCTGTTGTCAGATTTTTTTTTTTCTTATTGCCTAGAAGAACTGGGGTACAGGTCAGAGGTGCAGGAGGGAGAGATTCCCCAGAGGCACAGTGGGGAGCAGCACAGTCAGATCTAACAAATCCACTGCTGAGGGGAGCAGTGGGGTACACCCAGTGGGCCACTCCCCAGCCAGGATCAGATGGAATTCAGGCCTTACAGTGCTGAGATTAACTCCTAGGTGACCAGGGAGGTCCGAGCCACGATTTGTTTGCAGAGCACCATTTTTACTTGTCCGTGCCCACTTCTAAGGGACTTGCTAAACAGAATAAAAATATACACTGGAGGACACCAAACTAGCTAGTAAAGGGAATAAGTGAGCTGCGGCAGTTAGGTGAAAAGAGAGGCGCCCTGAGTGGGTCACCTCCCTGGCCCAGGGTTTGACCTTGTGCGGCAGTGGCTGCAGAGAGCTTCCTTCATAGTGCTGCACTTGAACCCCTTGCGCTGCCAGGCAGGGCCCTAAGTTGTTTTTAGAAATCCCATTCTATGACTAGACACAGCAGTGAAGAGGGCTGTTTTACTCTTCTGCAAAGGTCGTCACTGTCTGCCTGAGGAAAGATGGCTGGATTGGAAGAGCTGCTTCAGAGACAGAGTAGCAAAGGCAGCGGGGTTGGGGGCAGTGGGACCTGCGGGATCGGGAACTGGCAGTGCCAGGGGGCGGGGGAGGTTGCCCCAGGAATGCTTGTTTGCTTACGCAGAGTCAAGAGTAAGGTTCGCGGTACAACGTTCACAAAAAAGATCGACTCTTCTTCCAACTGACCATCTAGGCTAGACAAGCGGGTAGGTTCGGGTGATGTGGCCACTCTGGGAAGCTGAGCCCCTGGAGGAGTAGGGAAAACCCCTTCCCACCCGCCAAGATGGGGGAGACCCGAAGGGCGGGCGGCAGAGATGAAAACTATATGCCGGTTTTGCTAAGCCTGAGACCCAGAAGATGGTGCAAGCAGGTGGTGTGAAGCCCAGAAGCCAGATCTGGTAAGATGTTCAGTTGCATGAAAGAGACGTGGGTGCAGAGCTGCGGTTCGCCCACTGACCCTCCTTCCCCCGCCTCCGGGTGCGCTCTGGGGGCGGGGGCGGGGGCGGCACCCACACACCGCCTCTGAAGGGCGCCTGACACCCTTCTCGCAGCGCCCCCGTGTGGCGGCGATGGCTCATCACCGCCGCCCTAGCAGCTTCGGACTGAATAAATGGCCCAGGACCCTGGACAGCTTAGAGGTGACAGGCCAGGAGGAGCCCCAAAAGAGATGGCCAGGCCATGAGCTTGAGGGATTATTATTATTATATTATTATTATTATGCTACTGCTCAGTGGACCCAGAGGGGCGCGGGTAATGTACGCACGTGGGAATACATTCACACACATCCGCTTGACTCCAAGCATGCGGTACAGTCAGGTGCAGAGGCAACGCCGAGCTGGCGTCTCTGCCCTGATCTGCTGAGGCTTGCTCAATACGATAACCAAAAACGCTCCTAGAAACGTGCAGATCCAGATCCAGATCCGAACGCAGCTGCTCTGGGAGTTGTGCGTGTGCTACAGTGCAGCCACCCAAGCTGCTTGCGCTACCTCACTCCGCCTGTCCCGGACCCTCCTTTCTCTGCAAGTATTATTATTTTTTTTTTTAAACAGAAGATTGGAACTAATGTTTTCAATGGGGTACATCCTACTTCTACAAAAAGCTCAGGGGCTGGAGTGACTGGCGACTGTCACACAGCCCGTGTGGCAGGACCAGAAAGGGTGGCCGGGTCTGCCAGGCTGACTGTAAAGCCTGTGGTTTTGCCCTCTGTTCTGGCCCCTCCTTATTGTCGCCTTCTCCCGGGCCCGGAATAAGGCATCTGTTACCTTGAGGAGTGAACCTTAGAAACTGAGCTATCTCACTTAAAGGCTATCATTTTTGCATGTTGTCAAAACAAAGTTCAGGAGGTAAGTCAGAGGGGACAGAATCAGAGCTGCTGACCGCCACCCTCACAAGCTAGGGGACTGTCGCCAGGGGGAAACCTGCTTTCAGCCCATCAAGTTCTGGAACAGCCAGGCCTGTCTGGTGGGACCTGGCAGTTGCGCTATGCCCAGGCCTTTTCATTTCTGGGCAGCCATTGCCTTAACAGTAATGACGTGGCCCTTCTCAGCCCCCTGCTGCCCCCGAGGTAGAGGAGGATGTAAGGAACCCACTGGAGTCCAGGCCAGGGGCGCACTGCAAGCAGCCCTTTTCAGCACACTCCCTGGTGGCACAGGGGGTCTGTCTCAGCACTGTGAAGCTGTCTGAAGCCCCGTAGCACAAGTTCAATCCCTGGCTGCAGAGCTGACCCCCAGGGCGCAGACCTCTCTTGCCTCCCTGCTGCTCCCCTTGGCAATGAATTTCAGTAGATTGTCTGTTCTGCCCCCCACGCTGTCTTTTACCCCCTGCACCTCTGACCTACACCCCAGTTCTTGTATGCATAAATAAAATAAATCTTAAAAAAAGATCAGAACTCGACCTCACTCCAGGGCAGGAACTGACAGTGAAGGGCACACCTTTCCAACGTAAATGTTCGTAAGATTTGCTCACATGGCCCCAATTCCTGACCTAGACCTGAGAGGCAGAGGCATTGCCAAGGTGCCCTCCCCTCCCCTGCCACTGGCCCTGGTGACTGACCTATTTAGTCTGTGGGCTTGCTTGGAGGAACAACGCTCCGCTCAGACTTGGGGACCCCTCTCCTGAGGCCTGCTTGAGTTATGGTGCCTGGTTTCTATCCCTGCCCCCATCACTAACCGGGTCTGCACGGTGGGCCAGTTGCTGTACCAGCTATAGTTGCCTTATCTGACTCACCCTTGTCATGGGTCCACCTGGGGTCAAGTGTGCTGCTACAGCCTGGGCAGAGAACCCCGCGTCCAGCACACAGCCGGTGCTTTACACGCCCACCACTGTCACTGTTGTGTGCTGGCCGCACCTGTGACAGACAGACACGAAGGTGGCCCCCACCTCCTGGCGTTCACTGTGGGAAGGGCCAATGGAAGTGGCCTTGCTTCGACCCCAGAAGTGACCTGCACGTGATTACGTGTACAGCACAACCTCCCATGCCCTCATTTCCCTCAACCTTGTTTCACCATAAAGGGATGGGGAAACAAACAAACAAATCAATTCTAGCAGATGCTGAATGGAACGACGTTAAAGCTGAGGCCTGCTTTTGTGGCTCAGCGTTTTGCCAAGGTTGTAAAGTACGCACTTCCCTACCAGAAAGGGCCATGTGGTGGGACGTGAGGGGATGAGGCAGCAAGCAGCCACCAGCAGGGAGCTGAGGCCCCACGGGGAGCCGAGGGCCGCGACAATGAGCAGGGCTTCCCAGGCAGCCCGAGGTGAGGCCGCGGCCCCAGCCAGAGCTCGGCTGCTACCCACACTTATATAATAGACACGCGTTGCTTTAGAGCATTCAGGCTGTGGTGACGTCTTCCACAGCAATAGGCTGCCCTTCACCTTTCAAGCCCCATGTTCCTACCATTCTCTTCCCGCCAGGGTCAATCGTCTCTCCCTTTCTATTTGGTCATTCCCTGTCAACATGAAAGAACAGGACCTGCCAAGGGCGTCATCCATTCATTCAGTAAACATTACCTACCCAGATATGAAGGGCTCTGTGGGCTCTGAGGACACAGTAACAGGACAGCACGGTACCTGACTTAATGAGCTCCTGGCCCAGTGGAGGACACCCCAGGGGAACAGGAGACTGGGGTACAGGGAGAGGCCCAGGAGCCAGAGCACAGGGTGGGCTGCACACCGGGAGCTCTAGTGTCTGGGAGCTGGCGGAGGGAGAGCAGCACTTCCACAGCCTGCGGTGAAGGTCTGGGCAGGAACACCTGGAAGGGCCTGAGAAGTCACCATGAGGACCAGGGACAGTCCCTTACAAGAGACAAGTGGAGCCCCAAAGAGCTTAACCCAGGAGGGCACCAGCCGGGAGTTCGGCCCTCAGGCCTCCCTGTTCAGATGGGAGAGGTGGCTCTGGCTCCAGCACTGAGCCAGAAAGTTACTTCCCCTCTTCAGGCCTCTGCTGGGGTAAGAGGTCGGGTTTGGACAAAGTAAATGGCCTTTAATTTCTCCCCACTTTCCAAGCTCAGACTAACCCAGCATCCCCTGCTGTGACTGTCAACACTCCCTTCAACTCTCTCTTCCCAGCTTTCTCCCCACCCAGCTGGAAGTATCTTGCAGAAAATTTTTTTCTTCTGTTTCTCTACTGCACTGGAGGGCCAGTCGCAAGCACTGTACCTAATGCTCCTGTCCATGGATCCTCGGCCACCAGGCGGGGAACAAGTGACTGCCTGAGGCAACAGGCATCGCAGGCCCGTGCACACTGCTTTCCCGGCTTCCCAACACTTGCACTGTTGTCCGGAGTCTCACGCAGCCCAAGGCAGTTCAGAGAATATCACCTACCATTTTGCTGACACCAGGAGGACCGACCGCAAAGACGACTGAGTCAGGCTCCAGTGTTTATTAGCAGCTTGTCAAGCCGACTAATCTCTCCTAAGCCTCTGTCTCCTCAGTTGCCAATTTGGGTACCACCGACCAGCCGGATGGCAAAGACGGTTAGGGGAGGAGGTCTCTGACGTGGAAGGCAAACACAGACAATAAATACTAGCTGTCACGTTTAGCCTGGGGCCAGCGCCCTTGCCCCGCCCCTCCCAGACAGCCACCCAAGATGAGAGGATTGCGCCCAGCCG